CCCCCTGTCCGAACCTCCAGCGCTGACTGGCGGAACGGACGGGGCGGGTACAGCTGGCTCTGCCTCTACATAGGCAGAGCCAGCTGTCACTCACGCAGCTGGGTGGATCCAGACAGCATTGTCGGGATCCGTCCCGGCTGCAGCTCGCTCTCAGTATACCGCGAGCCGCGGTATACTGAGCCTAGGATGACGGGAGGAACGCTAGTTTGTGTCCTCCCGTTGTATACTGAGCCTAGGATGACGGGAGGAACGCTAGTTTGTGTCCTCCCGTTACCCTTAGGAGAACTATGGGGAAAAGCCCTGACCCCATAGTTCTCCTTTAAGATTTCAGAGTGTGAGTGTTTGAGTAGTTTAAAGAAAGAAAACTGGGCAGGGCTGACACCACTTAGTCCACAAATATGCTGTGTGTTAGTCCACATAGGAAATAAAGAGTTGAGTGCAATTTAGTGGATCATTGGGTATTTTTCTGTACTTGTGGGGTCTTTTAGGGATAAAGCATGAGGAGATGTGTATGTACTGCAGGGTAGAGAGGAAGACTAATAAGGGGGAGGGGGGGCTAGGCAGCATGAAAAGTGCACTGGCATTACTTTTTGGGCCAGGTTAGGTTGACTTTCATTATACAACCTTCAGTTGTCTTCTCATAATTAGTGGTGGCTTCTACTTTACCTGAAACTGCAATTGTGGTGCCAGTAAGTTCCCCGGTGCTGATGCCTTGTACTTTGGCCGACTTGGCTGAAAAAAATGAAAATATATAGTATATATATATATTATAAATGATGGAAAATGAGTACAATGTTACCAATTATTCTAGTACGACAAATCTTCCCAGGCAGAGACACTCCGGGCCAAAGAACCGGGGAGGGTACAGACCTATTTCAGGTTTTTATTGCCATCCTTGTTGTGAAGAGTTTCCATCACTTCCTGCCTAGATGACCACACAGGAAGTGAGAGGAATCTTCTCATCCACGGACGCAAAAAAGGTTTATTTCCGCTTCATGGGAGACTAAAAAAAAAGGTTTTGCCTTCAAAATGTATATTTGAGATTGCTTACGATCCTCCATTCCTAGATGGGACGTCTGTGGGATTTACCTTGGGCGGTGGGTCATGCATGGGAGTGGGCTCAATGATCTTCGGAGGGCGCTGTCGGTTATTCCTCTCTTTATCCTTCGCTATCTCTTTCTCGGTCTGGTAGATGTCACTGTAGGTGGAGAGTAATTGAGCATAAGAATATAAGACTATAACCGCTCATACTGTATAACAATACAAAGGGTCCTATTCTACTTCTCTTTATTGATTGATTAAAAATAGAAAAAGGACAACGCACAAAGTAACAATGCAGGTGGTACATGTTGTCACCATCCCTGGACCTCATAGACAAGGTCATACAAGGTCATACATGTTGTCACCATCCCTGGACCTCATAGACAAGGTCATAGAAGGTCATTAGCCCTGACCCCATAGTTCTCCTTTAAGATTTCAGAGTGTGAGTGTTTGAGTAGTTTAAAGAAAGAAAACTGGGCAGGGCTGACACCACTTAGTCCACAAATATGCTGTGTGTTAGTCCACATAGGAAATAAAGAGTTGAGTGCAATTTAGTGGATCATTGGGTATTTTTCTGTACTTGTGGGGTCTTTTAGGGATAAAGCATGAGGAGATGTGTATGTACTGCAGGGTAGAGAGGAAGACTAATAAGGGGGAGGGGGGGCTAGGCAGCATGAAAAGTGCACTGGCATTACTTTTTGGGCCAGGTTAGGTTGACTTTCATTATACAACCTTCAGTTGTCTTCTCATAATTAGTGGTGGCTTCTACTTTACCTGAAACTGCAATTGTGGTGCCAGTAAGTTCCCCGGTGCTGATGCCTTGTACTTTGGCCGACTTGGCTGAAAAAAATGAAAATATATAGTATATATATATATTATAAATGATGGAAAATGAGTACAATGTTACCAATTATTCTAGTACGACAAATCTTCCCAGGCAGAGACACTCCGGGCCAAAGAACCGGGGAGGGTACAGACCTATTTCAGGTTTTTATTGCCATCCTTGTTGTGAAGAGTTTCCATCACTTCCTGCCTAGATGACCACACAGGAAGTGAGAGGAATCTTCTCATCCACGGACGCAAAAAAGGTTTATTTCCGCTTCATGGGAGACTAAAAAAAAAGGTTTTGCCTTCAAAATGTATATTTGAGATTGCTTACGATCCTCCATTCCTAGATGGGACGTCTGTGGGATTTACCTTGGGCGGTGGGTCATGCATGGGAGTGGGCTCAATGATCTTCGGAGGGCGCTGTCGGTTATTCCTCTCTTTATCCTTCGCTATCTCTTTCTCGGTCTGGTAGATGTCACTGTAGGTGGAGAGTAATTGAGCATAAGAATATAAGACTATAACCGCTCATACTGTATAACAATACAAAGGGTCCTATTCTACTTCTCTTTATTGATTGATTAAAAATAGAAAAAGGACAACGCACAAAGTAACAATGCAGGTGGTACATGTTGTCACCATCCCTGGACCTCATAGACAAGGTCATACAAGGTCATACATGTTGTCACCATCCCTGGACCTCATAGACAAGGTCATAAAAGGTCATACATGTTGTCACCATCCCTGGACCTCATAGACAAGGTCATACAGGGTCATACATGTTGTCACCATCCCTGGACCTCATAGACAAGGTCATACAAGGTCATACATGTTGTCACCATCCCTGGACCTCATAGACAAGGTACGGGTGGGCCATGAGTTTGACCTGAGCCCAAGCTGTTTTAAGTTTTGTGAACAGGCAAATGATCTGGCCAGTTCAGCCACCCACTGAAGCTCCATCTGTATTCTAGCAACCAATGCAATGCAACATGTGTCATTGGATGACCAGTGTCTGAGCCATATAGAGTCATTGGATGACCAGTGTCTGAGCCATATAGAGTCATTGGATGACTGATGTCTGAGCCACAGAGTCATTGGATGACCGGTGTCTGAGCCATATAGAGTCATTGGATGACTGGTGTCTGAGCCATATAGAGTCATTGGATGACCAGTGTCTGAGCCATATAGTGTCATTAGATGACCAGTGTCTGAGCCACAGAGTCATTGGATGACCGGTGTCTGAGCCATATAGAGTCATTGGATGACCAGTGTCTGAGCCATATTGTGTCATTGGATGACCAGTGTCTGAGCCACAGAGTCATTGGATGACCAGTGTCTGAGCCATATAGTGTCATTGGATGACCTGTGTCTGAGCCATATAGAGTCATTGGATGGCCGGTGTCTGAGCCATATAGAGTCATTGGATGGCCGGTGTCTGAGCCATATAGAGTCATTGGATGACCAGTGTCTGAGCCATATAGTGTCATTGGATGACCAGTGTCTGAGCCATATAGAGTCATTGGATGACCGGTGTCTGAGCCATATAGAGTCATTGGATGGCCGGTTTTTGAGCCATATAGAGTCATTGGATGACCAGTGTCTGAGCCATATAGTGTCATTGGATGACCAGTGTCTGAGCCATATAGTGTCATTGGATGACCGGTGTCTGAGCCATATAGAGTCATTGGATGACCGGTGTCTGAGCCATATAGAGTCATTGGATGACCGGTGTCTGAGCCATATAGAGTCATTGGATGACCAGTGTCTGAGCCATATAGTGTCATTGGATGACCAGTGTCTGAGCCACAGAGTCATTGGATGACCAGTGTCTGAGCCATATAGTGTCATTGGATGACCAGTGTCTGAGCCATATAGAGTCATTGGATGGCCGGTGTTTGAGCCATATAGTGTCATTGGATGACCGGTGTCTGAGCCATATAGAGTCATTGGATGGCCGGTTTTTGAGCCATATAGTGTCATTAGATGACCAGTGTCTGAGGCACAGAGTCATTGGATGACCGGTGTCTGAGCCATATAGAGTCATTGGATGACCAGTGTCTGAACCATATAGTGTCATTGGATGACCAGTGTCTGAGCCACAGAGTCATTGGATGACCAGTGTCTGAGCCACAGAGTCATTGGATGACCAGTGTCTGAGCCATATAGTGTAATTGGATGACCGGTGTCTGAGCCATAAAGAGTCATTGGATGGCCAGTGTCTGAGCCATAAAGAGTCATTGGATGGCCGGTGTCTGAGCCATATAGAGTCATTGGATGACCGGTGTCTGAGCCATATAGAGTCATTGGATGACTGGTGTCTGAGCCATAGAGTCATTGGATGACCAGTGTCTTAGCCGTATAGTGTAATTGGATGACCGGTGTCTGAGCCATATAGAGTCATATAGAGTCATTATATGATTGGTGTCTGAGCCATATAGAGCCATTGGATGACCGGTGTCTGAGCCATATAGAGTCATTGGATGACCAGTGTCTGAGCCATATAGAGTCATTGGATGACTGATGTCTGAGCCACAGAGTCATTGGATGACTGATGTCTGAGCCACAGAGTCATTAGATGACCAGTGTCTGAGCCATATAGTGTTATTAGATGACCAGTGTCATTGGATGACCAGTGTCTGAGCCATATAGTGTCATTGGATGACTGATGTCTGAGCCATATAGAGTCATTGGATGACCAGTGTCTGAGCCATATAGAGTCATTGGATGACCAGTGTCTGAGTCATATAGTGTCATTGGATGACCAGTGTCTGAGCCATATAGAGTCATTGGATGACTGGTGTCTGAGCCATAGAGTCATTGGATGACCAGTGTCTTAGCCGTATAGTGTAATTGGATGACCGGTGTCTGAGCCATATAGAGTCATATAGAGTCATTATATGATTGGTGTCTGAGCCATATAGAGCCATTGGATGACCGGTGTCTGAGCCATATAGAGTCATTGGATGACCAGTGTCTGAGCCATATAGAGTCATTGGATGACTGATGTCTGAGCCACAGAGTCATTGGATGACTGATGTCTGAGCCACAGAGTCATTAGATGACCAGTGTCTGAGCCATATAGTGTTATTAGATGACCAGTGTCATTGGATGACCAGTGTCTGAGCCATATAGTGTCATTGGATGACTGATGTCTGAGCCATATAGAGTCATTGGATGACCAGTGTCTGAGCCATATAGTGTCATTAGATGACTGGTGTCTGAGCCATATAGAGTCATTGGATGAGTGGTGTCTGAGCCACATAATGTCATTGGATGACCGGTGTCTGGGCCATATAGAGTCATTGGATGACCAGTGTCTGAGCCATATAGAGTCATTGGTTGAACAGTGTCTGAGCCATATAGAGTCATTGGATGACTGGTGTCTGAGCCATATAGTGTCATTGGATGAACGGTGTCTGAGCCATATAGAGTAATTGGATGACCAGTGTCTGAGCCATATAGAGTCATTGGATGACTGGTGTCTGAGCCACATAGTGTCATTGGATGACTGGTGTCTGAGCCATATAGAGTCATTGGATGAGTGGTGTCTGAGCCACATAATGTCATTGGATGACCGGTGTCTGGGCCATATAGAGTCATTGGATGACCAGTGTCTGAGCCATATAGTGGCATTGGATGACTGGTGTCTGAGCAATATAGTGTCATTGGATGAGTGGTGTCTGAGCCATATAATGTCATTGGATGACCGGTGTCTGGGCCATATAGAGTCATTGGATGACCAGTGTCTGAGCCATATAGAGTCATTGGATGACCAGTGTCTGAGCCATATAGTGTCATTGGATGACCAGTGTCTGAGCCATATAGTGGCATTGGATGACTGGTGTCTGAGCAATATAGTGTCATTGGATGAGTGGTGTCTGAGCCATATAATGTCATTGGATGACCGGTGTCTGGGCCATATAGAGTCATTGGATGACCAGTGTCTGAGCCATATAGAGTCATTGGATGACCAGTGTCTGAGCCATATAGTGTCATTGGATGACCAGTGTCTGAGCCATATAGTGTCATTGGATGACTGATGTCTGAGCCATATAGTGTCATTGGATGACCAGTGTCTGGGCCATATAGTGTCATTGGATGACTGGTGTCTGAGCCATATAGTGTCATTGGATGACCGATGTCTGAGCCATATAGTGTCATTGGATGACCAGTGTCTGAGCCACATAGTGTCATTGGATGACTGGTGTCTGAGCCACATAGTGTCATTGGATGACTGGTGTCTGAGCCACATAGTGTCATTGGATGACTGGTGTCTGAGCCATAAAGTGTCATTGGTTCCTAGGAAGCCAGCACTTGCATATAAAACAACCTATAATGCTGTGGGGCAGCCAACATCCTAGCAACCAATGACACTGGTCAGGTGCTGATGTTGGATGAGAAGACCGGACTCACAATCGCCATTCCTATTCATCCCAAAGGTGATCAGTAGTGTTGAGGTCAGGGCTTTGTAGAGGCCACTTAAGTCCCTCCACACCAACCTGGTCACACCATGTGTTTATGGAGCTGGCTTTGTACACAGGGGACAAAAAATAGTTTGTTACAGTTCTTTCTGAGTCCCTGGGGCAAGCATGCAGCAAGTGAAGCCACAATTAATACCATAGGAATGGGTATGTATAGGTATGTCATAGGTAGGTATGTATAGGAATGGCATAGGTAGGTATGTATACGTATGTCATAGGTAGGTATGTATAGGTATGTATAGGTATGTCATAGGTAGGTATGTATACGTATGTCATAGGTAGGTATGTATAGGTATGTATGTATGTATGCGTATGTCATAGGTAGGTATGTATAGGTAGGTATGTATACGTATGTCATAGGTAGGTATGTATAAGTATGTCATAGGTAGGTAGGTATAGGTATGTCATAGGTATTCCAAATCAGTGACTCCGTATTGGATTTACACTGGATGAAGTGTACTGTGACTTTTTAGGTGTGGTTTGCTTTATGATGACGTCACATTGTTGGAGAAGATGGTGGACATGATGGGCAGAGGAGACATCTCAGAGAAGATGGTGGACAAGATGGACAGAGGAGACATCTCAGAGAAGATGGTGGACACGATGGACAGAGGAGACATCTCAGAGAAGATGGTGGTCAAGATGGACAGAGGAGACATCTCAGAGAAGATGGTGGACACGATGGACAGAGGAGACATCTCAGAGAAGATGGTGGACATGATGGACAGAGGAGACATCTCGGAGAAGATGGTGGACAGGATGGACAGAGGAGACATCTCAGAGAAGATGGTGGACAAGATGGACAGAGGAGACATCTCAGAGAAGATGGTGGACACGATGGACAGAGGAGACATCTGACCCTCTACAGCCAGGAGCTCTTTCAGTATATTATCCATGAAAAACCCTTACGATGGTGCCTGAGACCCGCGACCAGCTCAGATACCCAAATACGTCCCCCACTGCTCCCCTTAGTGTTTCCGAGGACATCGAGAATCTGGTTCTACTTTACATGCATGGTGGTCCACAATGACGTCACATGCTGCACGCTTATTACAGGTTGGCAACTTAGAAAATCACTGGACCCCGACAGCCAGGCAACCGGCGTTTGCACATAGTGAGCCCAGCAATGGCCGCCGACGTTTCCTTCCCAGTACAGGTTCTCTTTAAGGAAAGCCGCGTTCTCCGTATATATTGTCTCATCACATGCAGAAGGTTTATATTTGGAAACAGACTGGCCACCTTCTCTCCCTCCCCGTCTGACACTGCAGCCATCCATCATCGCCCTGACAAAGTCATTAATCCAGTCATGTGATGGCGGCCCAGCGCCGGAGAGGAAGACGCGGCGTCCGCATTTGTGACATAGCCAACTATAGCAGGTGGCCGGTCTGCAAGTGTGCCTGGGGAGCCCCATAGCAAAGCCAATAAAGCTGAACATCAAAGCCCAGGGGAAATACATATCAGGGGCCTGCCACTGGATTTGTATTTCTGCCCATCCAGTCCTGAGGGTCACACTGTTCTGCCAAGCAGCGCAGCACAGGTCTGCCCGGCAGAGCAGAAGGCCTGATTTTTCTCTGCTGCAGTTTAGTAACACTCACAGGTCTTGACCCTCCCCCAGCCTGCGACTGGACAGTGAAAGGAGAAGCAGCAGATGGACAAACGCGTGTCTTTATCACTCTGCGCTAGTGACATGACGTTCCAATAAACAAACTCTTTGGACTGCAACACTGGTGGTGTGCTGGTGACATTTATTCATCTTTATACTGTGTGGCGGCGCCATCCGCAGGTCACTACAAGCACA